TCCAAATCCTTAGTGGCTTTGGTTTTAACCTTAAGTTAAGAGGGGTTGCTTCTAGAAAGCTCTATATACCCTATCCTTGTACCCTTGATGCCTACTGCTCCACTCTCACTATCCCCCATCCACTCCCCTCAGCTGACAGCTGCAGAGTACCAGCTATGACTCCATGTCTACAGTAATTTGTTTTCTTTCTTTGGGGGATGAGGGGGGAGTGACTGAATTCTTTGGGAATGATTTATCACACGGCACTCAGGGGGAACTTCATTTATTTGCCTAGCTGCATATGGTTTAGCACCTAAGGTTGCACGCTGATTATTATACGATGTTATTTTTCCCACTTGTATACTTTGCACCTTTTCATAGAGCAGATTAACTGGTCCCCAATGGCATCGTATTTATGACTGGGCTTGCTGGCTGTCTGGGAAGGGTCCTGGTCCTAGACTCTTCCATTACCCCCACAAACTCCCTTCTTGACCACACCTGCCCCACTGAGGCTGTGGGAAAAATCACACGTGGGTGTGATATATCACATCATCTCAGAGCTTCCAAGAGGGAGGTGGAGAAAGGTCTTCCCAAGCACCAGTCAAGAGACAGAAGAGTGATTGAATCACAAATGGAGCAGGCAGGGGGAAGCAGAAATAAAGGATAAAAAAGTTTCACTATACGTTTGGCATCCAAGAAAGCAAGAATTCAGCAGGGAAGAGCATATGGATTTGCAATGAAGATAAAATGGCCTTAGTGAGTTTTCTTACTACTACACTCTGTGGCAACTTCCAGTTTTGCTTCATTTAATACCAAGCCAGAACCAAAATTAAAATGAATTAAAACCCCAACTTGCAGGACAAGCGCAAAGCAGGACACAGAACTAGATGGAAGCAGAAAAAGCAGAATCTGATTCATTGGTTCTCTCCCTCTTCTGCAAGTTCTTGCATCATTTATACTTTTTTTTCTCTGCCACTATATGGAGGTTCAAAATCCTCCCAAGTACTTCTCCCAAGTACTCAGCCCAGAGAGAAACACTGAAGTGTTCAGCAGGGATGACTGCAATCTGCATTTGCATGTCATGCCCATACATCATTCTTCACTTCCAGTGCCATTAGCATGTCATATTTAGATGTCACCAAATCACTTTTACATCTCTCCTTCTCCACCTGCTCTTCTGCTAATGTGAAACTGCCTTTACCTCCACCCATTTCATCCAACTGGTGGCCTGAGTTGTGCTAGCCAGCAGTTCTTAGGCAGATTTTAGCAAAAGGCCTACAATTCTGTTAAAATTATTTGGGTGATAAAATCAACAGTTGACATAGGAAACAGCCATGAAATTTAGAACTAACACAATTAATGTAGTAGCAGCAGAAAGCAGAAACCCATGGTCTCATATGTCTTTAAATAGTGACATGCTGCATGTCCTATGAGAAGGATAGCACGGCTAAGGGATGAGGCTGAGAAGACAGGAGGGAATAAAGACAGGTGAGAAATGGCCTCTCCCCTCCAAATAAAAAGGAGGGAAAAAATATCTCTATAAACAAAAGAGAAGAGACAAAGCAGAGAATCCAGGTCCCGGCAGTATGTTTGATATAATCACATCTTGCCTCGCTATAGGGATCTTTGGAGGCAAACTGCAATGTCATGCTCTTAACGCACATAAACACACACGCCATTTTCAAGCTGTTTCTTTCTTTGAGAAGCCGTAAGTGAATTAAATTACAGAAATGTGAATACCACCGTTCCTGTTTTTAAAGCTCACTTCCAGCTCTGTGCAGGAGGAGCTTCAGAGAGTAAAACTTCTGTCACTGGAAAGCTGTCACACGAGATGCGTATGCGGTGTTTGGGCATCAGAGCCGAACAGAAGAGCCCACATACAGCTGGTCCCCATTCAATGGGCAGGATTTTGAAATAAACAGCTACTTTTTTTTTATTTAAACTAGACACACACAAACCTGTCTTCAGCTGCTAACCTTAATATATTACTCATTCTTCCTTTTAAATAACGTCATGTTCAAAACCCCAATGACTGTAGAGTATTTACTTGAGGCTGCTACTGCTGGTTTCTCTAGAGCTGTTTATTTTTCCATGCATGAGCTCATTACATCACTCTGTGGTTTTCTTAAAGTTTGTCAGAGAAAGCTGGATACAGGCTGGAATCTCTTACTAAACAAAACCAAATCACTTAGTAGCACAAATGGATTTGGAGATGGCCCAAATCCGGAAATGAGGAACAACCATGGGCTCCTCAGTGCAAACAGGCGCTCCCAAAGAGGCAGCCAGTACATTTATTTTCTTGGAAGTGGGATGAGTTATCAAGTATTTCCCTACAATAAGAACCATAAAAAAATAGTGTCTTGAACTGTTCCAGGCAGGAGTATGTTGTGGGGAGAGGAGAGGTAGAAAAGGAGCAAGTTGAAGGGTTTTTGCATGCAGTATGGAAAGATTTCCTAACCATGACAGTTAGAGAATGGCCACTGCAAAGGTCACTTCTCTATCTCCTTCTGCTTTGGTAGTGTTAGGAAGAATTAACACATTTCAGAGGGCAGCACTGAACAACAGGCTTAATTTGAGATGTTTGTGTGTGTTTAGGGAAGGTGGAAATCAATTCAAAACAAACCCTCATCTAACATTTTTGTCATCTAGCCATAGCAAACAACGTATTTTCTTTTGATCTAGGTCTTCCACATGTCAGGAAAAGAAATGTTGACTTTTGGGCTCTTGTAAGATTCACAAAAAAAGCAAACAGCTTAGTTTAAGTGCAGAAGAATACCAATCTTCTGCTACTCAGCAGTCCAATGGTGCAGCATCTTTACATGTTTGATTCCTGCCTCAGCCTGAGAGGATCTGAACCTGCATTTCACCCCACCAGTAAATGATCTAATCATCATTCTACAAGGTGGACTAGCACAACAGCACCAACAGTTCCTCCTAGCAACATTATTTTACTCAGCATGTAAAGAATCACTGACAAAATGGCTGGAGGCATATGGATTCTCAGCCAAGAGCTCTAATCATCAGGATGGAGTCATTCTAATTTTCCTGATCCCTAGCTTAATTAGTATATACATATGCCAAGCAAATGTAAATGCTCCACAAGAGAAGGCTGTTTCAGGATAACCTCCTTACCGCTTGTCAGTGCTAATTTGACAACAGGACACAGATCTCCAATGCAGCTGTTGTGAGATACAGATTGCACCAAGAACATGGGATATTTCCAGCGGGATGACACAGGGGTGCTAGAGCTCAGCAGCGCTTGGCTATCTGCAGTTTGGTTCACTCTGAAGGGATATTGGAAACATGGAGCTCACTTTCAGCTTTGGCCTCCAGTTAGGGAGTAGGGACTATGTCCATCTGTCTGCTACCTAAAAAAAAATGCAACTAAACCTTCAGCTCTCTCCTCAGCTTCCCTACTCCCTTCAGATACATGCCAAGCAAGTGCTGGCTGTTAACAGATACAACACCCAGGCACAAGACAAGGCTTGAAGCCTTGTTGTGAAGGGTCATTAACAACCTGGGAAGCCCAGTGACTGTCTAGGAGAGTTAAAGGTTTGAAGTGCTTCCCATCTCCTTTCCCTTGCTCCTTTTTCTGCAGGGAATCCTCAATGACAAAATACAAGCTCTACCTAAAGGCAGCTAAAAACATCTCCTTGTAGTGGATGGTTTTGAGATAACTCTAAGGTTAGAAGCTTCCACTCAAGCATAACATCTCTCAGCCAAGAGCAGAGACAGAGCAGAGTGAATATCAAAAACAAAAATCCAGCTCCATGATAGTAAAACTTAGCTTAACCCTTTAAAAATAAATGAAAAAGCAAAGGGACTAGACTTAGCTAAAAAGTATTGCTAAAAGCAAATACTTCTCACATTAGCTTCAACATTTGGATGGGGCAGCATTTCTTGATATCAGTAATTCATTTTAAGAAGGCTGCATATATTTATGGCAGAATATGAAAATTCACACCTAAGTTTGGCAACCTAATCTCTTGATCAGGTGCTACGGCAAAAGTGTCTACCAGGACAATCAGTAAAATCAAGTTAGTTGAAGCAAACAGCTCATTTTAGCTTGCTGGAGAAACTCTCTCGTACGAACTTTTGAATTTTCTAAAGAACATTTATTCTGGGTTTGTCTTATTACCAGAAAGGACATACAACTAATTGAAAATAAAGTGGGCAAAATTAAACTCCCAAAATGATGTTTTCCACAAACAGAAATCCTGCTTATATAAGGCAGCTTTCTGACAAAAGGCTTAAACAAATAAGTCAAACGTTTACAGCATGAAAGCCACCCTATCTGAGCTCTTTCAGGCCAAGGAAGGCTGGGAGAGAGGCTCTTAAGTCAAAGACTCTCCCACCACATTGTCTAGTCTCTTTGTAGTCTTCTAGAATTAAGATCTGGGAAACTATTTCCATTACAACTACCTAGATTACTACATAAGACGGAAAGCTGGTCTCAAAGACAGGTAGGGACAAAATGTCAGGATTTTATTACGAATCTCTCACCTTCAGTTGTCGAAGTGGTTGCCCTGCAGCTCACAAGCAGCAACAAGGACCAGAAAATAAATATTCTCTTCGGAAATAATCCAGTCTGTTCTGCGTCAAAAATACCACCTACCAAAGAACCTTGAAGTTCCTAGAAAAGAAGCCCCTCTATATTTGTTCTTCCGTTTAGACCAAGACCACAGCCCATTTCTTAGAGCCATTCTCAGTGCACTACAGTTATTCTCAAAAGGGCATCACTTTGAATGTCCATCAAAGACAGCAGAAGAGTAGACAAGAAAAAGATGAAGTATCAAATGAATAATTTAGAGCTTCCCGAGTTCTGGTTTGAGGAAACAGAAATCCTGCTCATTAATCTGCTACGATGTTCTGGGCACACAGACAGATACAAGTCAAAATTGTTCTACGGTTGTCATCTTGAGCTCTGCAAAACTGTAAAAGCAGCACGAGAGCTACACCGAATGAATGAAACCAAAAACAAGATAGAGGTTTTTCCCTCTGCCTTCTGGATGGAGCATTACCTGAATTCCTTATACTGGAACTGTTCAGCTTCGAATCTTTGATGACCAAGTGCTTAATCCAAAGGGTGGGAGCCGTGATTTCTGAAAGACATAAAACAAGTGCCTTAGAGCAACTAAAGCACCCAGTGAATAGATGTGGCTACTACTTGTGAGGACAAGGCACATTTGCCACATCCTGCATTAACTGATGTGCTCTCTTTGGAGATACCAGTGCTCACCCCACCCGAAGTCCCATTTTCCATCTCTTATGAGCTATTTTAACTTATTACAAGATTATCTTTTCTTCATCAACATTTTTATTCTCTTTCCTTTCCATTTCTCAGTTAAATTTCCAAGTCTTTCTCCTCAAGACTCAAAAAGCAAAGAAAAAAAACAAACCAAAACAAATAAAATAAAAAACAAATAATAAAAACAAACAAAATATAAAAACAACAACACAAAAATAAAAACAATTATGTTGTATGTTATAATACGTAATGAATTCTACCCAAAGACATGAGATCCAGATTAAAAAGACAATTTGGACCTTAAATATTGCCTTAACAGCTCAAGAAAAGCTGACCACAGCTTTGTCAGTTCCCTAAAACAAACTACAACAAAACCCAAAATAAACAGGCAGAGAAATGAGGATATTGTTGGAAAGGCTTAAAAGGAAGCCTGTTAAAGAAATAAATTGTGGTCAAAAAGCCTGTCTAATGCACTACAACCAACACATCCAAAAATAAACTTGTGAAAGCAGTGCTTAAAGCTCCTACTCTGAAGTGTTACAATCAATTTCAAAACACAGCAGAACTGTACTAAGCAACTCCTTCAAGAAGAGACAAAACATCAGCATTTGGATAGAAACTGGGCCAAGGGGTACTTGATACCATGGGCTAGAACTCATAAGGGGACACTGTGAGCATGGATATTAAACCAGAAGATTTTCAGTTCCCAGAAGCACATTTTAAATACTAGAATCTGGAGTTTGTCTTAAGAGGTTCCTCTAAAGTTTTTACAAGAGCTTTTCTGCTCCCTTGTTGGCATTTACATAGATGTGCTCAGCAAGGCAGAAGCTGGCTGACTACAAGAGACGTTGACTACATGTTATATTTCAAATGCAAGACTAAGCTTTTTGTTCTCTCCTAAATGTTTTCAGCTACATGGATCCTGGGCATTAAATTATATCCTGAACATGGCTACAGCAATGTCATATGCAAATCTCAGTTTAGCTTTGATATACCAGCATTAGTAAAAGGTTGCTTAAGGATAATTGTCTTATCTGTAGGTTTCACCACACTAGTTTATTATGATTTGCTCCCACAAACACACTCCCCTATATACTTTCTGTCTTTTGGAGGAGAAAAACTAACCCTTTGAGATTTGACATAAAAATGTATTTTCCAGCCTGTTAACCTGTACATTTGCTGGAATATAGAGAAGTCATTTAGATTAATTACTCCTCTGAGCAGTAGATCTTTGGAAAGAATAGATTCTCAGTGCATAAGGAGGTGAAGTTTACCAAAAAGAGCTCTTTAAAGAAGCTATGGCCTTAGGAAATGAGTACGACTTGCACATTTAAACAAAATAGAGCATGAATCCAAAGAAAACAGTCAAGAACTGCAGGAGGGAATAAAACTGATTCCCCCTACCCACCTCCTAATTATTTAAAACCATAGAAAGGACCATTAATAGACTTCTTTAGGGGGGAATCATACTCTAATATAAGAATCACTATAAACATTGAGATCTGCACTGTAATGAAAGGATATAATTCTTAAATAAATGGCTGCTTTATGATTTAAGTCTTGGACAGCAGAATTTACCTTATCTGATCTACATTATTTCTGGCTCTGCCGCTGCTCTGTTATACCCTCAGGGAGGAGGCTCAGGAGTGGGAGGGGAATGCCTGTCAAAATTTGGATTTTGGTTATTCTCTAGTCTTAGTCCTACTGAGCTTCAAGAGCTACCACACACTTACTAAATACTCTTAGAAAAAAATGCCAGCTCCTTGTACTTAAGTGAGGTAAGCAAATACAAACCATGAAAAGAAATTCATTATCTATTCTTCTAGTTACCAGCACTATCCTGGTTGCTTGGCCTTGAATATGTGGATTTTCAGGAGCCTCAGGATACCTCAGACCTGCTGAAACTGAACGGGATTTGGACAGTAACTCCTTTAAACACCCGATTAGTCCAGACCTGATAGGTGAATGGGTAACTTTTGCTCTTTTCTGTTATCTGACATTTGTGCCAGACAGCAATTACAAGCCATTTCTCATGAAGGCCTACCCAAGAAGCCAGGAGAGTACTCTAGTGAGGTATGACATGCTTGCTCAGTTAGCATCAGAGGATTCAGGATGACTCCCTGGGCTTATCTAGATCCATCTCCTGCTAAGACAGGGTCAGCTATGGGATCAGATGAAGCTGCTCATGGCTTTATCCAGTCCAGGCAAAGCGAAGTGGTAGCAGCAGGTCTCTGGGCAGCCTGGTTCACTACTTGACTGTCTCCACGAAGACATTTTTCCTTATATCCACTCCAAACCTCTCATTTCAATGTATGCCTGTTATCTCCTGTCCTCCTATCGTGCACTACTGTGAAGAGCCTCCACCTTCTTCATAACACCCTTGTAGGTACTGAAAGGTTGCTAGCAAGCACACCTTCCTCCTCCCCTGCCCAAGTCTTCTCATCTAAACTCTTCTCTCATGATTTCTGATGTACCTGTTCGAGCAACCACTAGGGACAGTATGATCCAACATTAGTGGGATACACAAGCCTTTGGGCTGACCCAAATTGGATTTTCTTATATTTATTTCTACAATATCTGATGAAATCTAGCTATCCCTCTTTTACTAAATGGGATGACAAAACTACAGTGTCTAACGGATCAGAGGATATTATTCATTACTGCTGTATTCCCCTGCCTGTCAGCTTCACAATGTCTTCTTCCAAGTTCCATAAGGGATACTGCAAATCTAGGAGGAGGTCTTAGTCATTTTCTCTAGCAGTCTAGGAGAGAAATTTTTGTATACTATATTGCAAGTCTCTTGGGGAGAGGCAATCTTTCATCATACAGCCCAAGCTCCTTATCATATATGCTTGTATCTACACTTAAATGCAAAATTAAGACTGACATGTTTTCATAGAAGAGAGAACATGATATTTTTAAATTCTTTATGTCACTAGATGGGCCAAAAAACACCTACTAGCTATATTTTTTCCTCAAGAACTGTGCCCGGTTATATTTGAATCACCAAAAATGTTGAATCTTTCCTAGAAGAAATCTCCGAATGGGCTGTATTAACCAGGTTAGGTAACTCCTGCATTTTACTCATATGTTCCTTCCTTTCAGTGTCTATGGGGAAAATGTAAAGGCCAGAAGCATGCTGTGATTACAAGCAGCTATTTAATACAACATCAGCACGCTGCCAGGTGGAACTTTCTTTTGATACAAACAAGAGATAGTGAACTAGGCTTTAGTCTCCTCTGTTTATGTGGGAGCACTGTTGTTTGCTCTGCGGGTTTGGTTTTGTTTCTTAAAGCTTATAAGATGATTCTTACAAACCTATAATCACTAAATGGAAGTGATGCAGCATCTTGCTATTCAATTAGCTCATTTTAACAACAAAAATCTACAACAAAAATCACCTGTTTTTCCAAGAAGGCTGCAGGCACAAACAGCACTGTTTACTGTTGCTTAGTAGTCTCCATTTCTGTCTTTGACCCAATTTTCAAAGAACTGTTGAACACAGGGCTTCAGTACTAAAATGAATAGGCTTTCCTCCACTCCCATAAGGTCCATAATTCCAAGGAGGTCACATTGTGTTATAGCTTTAGTCTTTATCTTGATTGTAACAGAGGTGGGTTTAAACTTACCAAAAAAAGTGCGGTTCTTCAAAGCAATATGCAAAATCTAACCAACAGCTAACAGATCCCTCTACGACCACAAGACCAGTATTTCTACCGGTGCACATAAAGTCTGCACGCTGAAAAAAACTTGACATCTTATATGATTATAGCTATTTTGTCCTTGTTTCAAAGCTTCCAATAGATTGAGTTCCAATATTCCCTCTCCAAAACAATATAATCCCAAGATTAGCCATTTGAGAAGGAACTGCCTTGGTGGGCCCTGAATTAAGTAGGCTTAGGACATTGACTTCATTTGCTTAAATAGCATGTGCGTCAATGAAAGTAATTGCTAAATAAAGAAACCTCACAGCAATTTTCTTCCAAGTCGACATTCACAAGCTGTGGTTTAGCACTTCCCCCCTTCGGTGAAGCTGTTGTGCATTGTGGAGGTTATGAAACTCCCAGCATCAGGATGGAGAGAGTGAGGAGGTAAGGACGGAGGAGAGGAAGCTGCCATTTCTGATTCAATGAGCATTTCTTACTCAAGATACCTTTTCCTCCAAGGTTATCTCAAGTTTCTGTTCAATTGGAGGTGGATTCCAGAGAAAGGAGGTAGATGGAAAAGGATTTGAGAAAAGCCTGAGGTCCCAAGAGCACTGATAAATGTGGACAAATTGAGATTGAAAGGTTTTTCTGCTTTTCCAGATAAAGTGTTCGAGTCAAAATCACAATTAAAAAAAAGGAAAGGTAAGTCGCATAGGTTTTAGTTTTGTTGTTTCAAGGATGCTCTTACCTTCTCCATCAAAAATTGGCTGCGTTTCCATGGTAGGCGTTGGCTTCGAACCGTCATCTGAATTGAGAGTTAAAAAAAATCGAAAAGAAACTACCATTATTGAGGTAAATACTATCTACTCTCCAGTACTGTTGAATGATTGGGAATTGTACATGGCCCGGCCAAGTCCAGAAGAGAGAGAAGACAGACAGAACAAAAAACAAATTAATCAGTTTTCTCTGACAGCAATGCAGCATTTTACATAGCAAGCACGCGCTGAGCACTCTGCTTTCACTTAGAAGAAACCTCCCTCCCCTCACCCTCCACTAAACATTAATATGAATCACCTGGCAGCCTCCCCTTCCCTTGGTTCACTGATTAAGCAACCACCTTTTTATTTTCAGGCATGTAGAGCCCCCATAGGTTTTTCCTGTGACACCAGGCACCCAGAATATCCTGGCCCACAGTGTCTCTCAAATTTATTTGTCAAAACAAGAAACTCTTCTTCTGAAACTTACCCGTATGGAACCTGGCACCAGCATTCACTGCAGAGCTGTTAAAAAGGGACGGTCAATAGGAAATCTTATTTCTTACAATGTCTGCATCAAGCTGTTAATCGCAATAATGTGGCAATATCTTCTAATTACAAAATTATGGGAAGGAGGGGAAAACTTCTCTTAGGTTTCCCAAGCACAAGAGTGCTCTGGGTCTTTGGACCACAAGTCTCACAATAAAAATCATCAATTAAGAGAGAATCAGTAGGAAAAATAACCTCCAATTTAGAGATGAACAACAGGCAAATGTTCAGATTACACTCTGCTTGGATCAGCACAGCCATCCATCACATCTACAGGCTTAGTCTAGATGCAGGTTGGGTCCAATTTCCTCCAAGTTCAAAGAGAATTGACTTCAAGCCCTGACTTGCACCTATCTTTACATAGCACGAGAACAGTGGTGTAGCATTAAAGACGACAAACCATTGGAGTTTGGAAGAACTAAGGAGGAGCAAGCTGTAGAGGAAAGTCTTTTGTTACACTGAAAGATGAAAATGTAGAACACAATTGGGATATAAGCAGAGAAGAGAATAGTAGAGGGGTTTTTTTTCTCCTCCTATATTGAATATAGTGACTTTAAAATGCTTATAATTTATTACAGCTATTTTGGCACACATGTGAAAATGACATTAAATACCAGCAAAGCAGAAAGTAACCTAAAGAAAATGGCCAGGCACAGTGAAAAAATCAGTTGGAAAAAGGAGGCTAAGCCAGGGAAGACAGGGGCAAGCCTGGCTTTGGGACTGCATAAGATGTGCTGGGCATCAGTCATTTGGAGAAACGGCACAGGGAACTGACTGGAAGGCTAAGCAAGAGGGATTACTTAGGTATTTGCCCTCTTGATGAAGGTCTCTGATTAAGACTAGAAAAAATATTTGGAAAAAAATACTTACCATTTCTCAGTCAATAATTCTTTTCAGAATAATTATTCTCTCCCAATAGAATGCATACGGAATATTATTAATTAAGATCATTTCATGGAGAAATTCCATGAATTTTATTTAATTTACAGAAGGAAGATTTTGCCCTTGATTTCTATGTTGATTTCTTCCTTTAAAAGAATAATTTGGACAAAAGGAAATAGTTCATCTTCACTTTTTCCTCACAATAGGCTGCTTTGTTTCTACAAGAACCCTTAGAAGCTGCAGCTATTGCTTTTTACTTGTTTAGGATAACTGCACCGTTTAATGAAACAGTGAGCAATGCATTATCAGCATGAGTGGCTTTAAGATTGAGAAATCAAAGCAGAACTGCAAAAAAGTATGTGCAGAGCAACTGGAAAAGTGAATAATTCATAAGTTACATAAAATAGCAGAAGATCTGGCATAATAAAATTACCATTATGATAATAAGATTATTGCTTTGTTCCCATGAATGCTTCCGCACCAAATAATTACAGAATTGCTTTTCAGATTTAAGCAGCAATCCATGAGCCAACAATGGGGAAAAATTAGAAGTGGATCCGAGCCACAAAGCTCTGTGTCCAGACCCCTATATGAACTTTGGCAGAACTTAGGATGTCTCAGGTTCAGAGAATTTGTTAGGCTCATCTCTTGGGAAAATGGTGATGGTGAACAGAAATAGTAGCAGTTACTACAATTTTGGAAATGTTTTTTCCCTTAAAGAATGAGAAGTTTGCAGCTTTTTTTCTTTGTATAAAGTTAGCTATTAAGGAATAGAAGACTGACAGAAAAAAAAATGCAGCAAAAAGACAAATACACCAAACTGACCCTTGAACTGTCAGTTTCATTATCATCACTATTTTTATTAATAATCTGATTAAAACAAATATGAAGCGCATTTTCTTCACCTAGTTACTAAGAGCAAATTGTCACCAAGTCCAATAGCAGCACCCATTAGTGTGTTCAAGTTTTCCAAAGAGGGGGAAGTGTAATTACTCCCCTGGTGTTCAAGCAAGTATCCTTCTTTCATCACACATGCAAGAAAAAAGGCAACAGACAAAAGCCCTGGAATTAAGTCCGCTACATTTCAAAAAGTCAAAAGCCAGGGATACTTCAGATTAATTTTTGAAGGTCATGAAATAGTCAAACAACAAAAATAAGTCACACTATTGAAAACACAGCATTTGTGTTCCAGCTGCCAGTTTCTGCCTTAGAAACTACCCAAGTCTCTTCCTTAAATTAGAGAATTCTCAGTAGATCTCAGAGTTTCAGCTTATAGCAAGATGCTTCACTCTCATCCCCTTTGGACAGGATAGCTTAATACTTGTCTCGTCTCATTTGATTTTTCCTGTCCCTCAATACACCACTGACCATATTGGATATTTGTTCCAAAGGCTGAATTTCCTCCTGGTAAACAAGGAGCAAATTCCACTTGCATAACTGCAAACGAACAAGCATTCCTTTAAGAAGCATTTTGCCTGGAAACAGAAAAGCCAAGCTGCTTCAGATACCCAGAATCTCTCCTGATATAATACAAGATGTGGAAATATTGTTACCTTCTGGCTTAAGGTCAGGAAATGTATTCATCAGCTGTGATCTAATTTTTTTTTCCCAAAACAAACTATCAAATCCTGCAGTTTAAAATAATGCACATAACTGTAACATGCAGTTCCTCATGCAGATCACGTCACAGAGGTCAACTTGGTGCTTCCTAATCCCTCCAGCTGGCAATGCCTCCAGACGATGAACTCGATGCAGACCCGTCCAAGCTCATTTCCCTTGGTTACAGAATATTGCATTGCAATATTGAACACAGCATATTTTTCACCCACCTGCTATAACCCTGTATGAATATGACTTGTTCCAAAACAACCACTAAATACAGACAGTATCATTCCACAGAATATCTGTTGTGGAACAGTTTTAAATTCACATTCCTTTCCAGTAAGTCTCTTTCTTCCTGGTTGAACTAAAACTCCTTTGGCTCACCAGGTGTCAAGTTAGGAATAGCATTTTTATATTATGGCACTTTTATCCTATCTCTGGTAAGAGTGAACCAGGCAAGTTTAAACATCTCTTCCTAACCCATTTTCTCACAAAGATACCATGGCTGTAGGTCTGCAGCTCACTTACATGACTGCGTTGCCAGGAATAGTCTTCTTTGTTAGACTGACACAAACTCAAGATCTGCATGTGGTAGGCAGAAATTCTTTATGATCTTGCTAGGAAGAGGCTTCTTCCCTCCCTTCTCCTTGCTCTTGCAGACTATCTCCCTGGCATGCTTCCATATCTGGAATAACTGCATTATGCACTGGAGTTGGGGAGCAGAGTGACTCTGTCTGCCTGAAGGAACACAGTTACAGTAATCCTTGGACTCCAAACTACAAGCATTAAGGCCACAAGCGACCCGAGTAACATCAGGGGAAGAGTAAGTTCCCTGATATAAAAGGCATAAACTACTATGAAAAAAAATAAAGCAACTGCTTGTGGTTGTGAATCACTGCACTTGCCAGAAGAATCACCTAATGGAAGAAATGAAGGGAAAATATAATTGGTAAAATTAGCCTCATATCACATCTACCAGGGAAAAAAAATACCTGCAAAAGTCCTCTACACACTTGCATCATCATATTAAAGAACGAAGATCTATACTCTTCCCAAGCAACTTCAACCTCCACTGTATTTCCCGTGAGTGCTCACTGGAATCCATGATGCATTCTGTGGGCATTTCTACCATTTTAAGGAGTAGAGCGTTTATGGGGTCAGGTACCCTCTGCAAGTAGACACCTTGAACATCAAGGGTTCACAGAGTGAGTCAGACTGCTGGTAAAACAGAGGATGAAAGTTTTAAGTGCACAGTTGTGCCCTGGCAGGAGTTTGTTTTCTTCCAGCCTCAATGGTTCCTACACCATCATCATCCATATAGGGTGAGCCAACATAGAGGGTAGCTAAGGCTCAGTATGCAAGTTAGAGCACAGATAGCCAGGAGTGAACTCTTACCATGCCCTGGCCCCATGAGCAACGCCCATCTTTGGTGGACTTGTCACATGGGCTGGGAGATGAACCTTCGTAGGCCTCGATGCTTCCAAGGAAATTTAATCGTAAATACATTTCTGAGAGTGCTAGTAACTCTGAACAGATCCCAAGAGGAATTGTAAAGGCAACTCAAACTCTCTGTATTTGGACAATTCCTGAATCTTGAAAATTCAGTTGTATAGCTTACATTTCTATGTATTACTGGGAATGGTGGTGTTTAGGGTGTTGGTTTAAGTATTATAAAAATGCGCTAGACAACATCAGATAGGGATCTTACACAAAATACCTGTCCCTTCCAGATTCACAGGGGTGAACTGCTGCTTTCTTCATGATCCTTCTCTACATCAAGTGAAGTGGTTCCAGCAGATCATAATTAATCTAATAGTCTATGCAGGTTTTACACACAGACATATATAGCCAATATAAATGCAAAAAGCTAGCACTCATGCCAAAAAATGTGCAATTCTTACAATCCAGCCAAATCAAGATAATATCTCTCCAAGTAGCTGAGATAGAAATGCATCAGTGCAGATAAACTTCCCTGCCAGCTTTTCATACCCCTTCCCACTGCCATGCATGGAGGTCA